TTGATACGGCAGTTCAACTCTTCCTTTTAAGCCCAATCCTACATCCGCGATACACTAAAAGGGTCTGTGGACTAGAAAAAGATTAGTATCATAAAAGAAAATCGGATTCAAAAAATCGAACATGTCGTCGCATTTCACTATGTAAGCAAGAAATTGGGTACAAAGATCGAGTATTCCATCAAATTTTCCTATTTTGGCTACCCAAGTTACAATTTTCTAGAGGATTGCTTTTGCTAATAGCTACAACTTTACAATTGACCGATAGACCGTGAACGTAGTCAACTTGGACCTCTCACATTAGCTGTTGCTAACCCCAAACTCTCTCTCTCTCTCTCTCTCTCTCTCTCTCTCTCCAAGTAAACAAAATCCTTTTCGAATTTTTCAACCAAATCAAAATTTTATCCAAATATTAATTATAAAAACTCAAGGTAACTGACTCCAGATTCAAATACATGAAGGGGGAACGATCATCTTTTCGTTCATAGGGAGATGTTTTTTTCTTTTAAAAAGCGATTCGAAAACCGAGCTTCAATGGTGTCATCCAGTGACCTCCACACGGTCAAGCTCCACTCCCGGGTGATGTATAATATCTCCAAACTCACGATGGAATTTATGGAGTCCGAATTCCTTAAAAGAAAAAAAGTTTATTGCCTAGTAAGGGAGTCTGAGATTACATAGGAATCTTTGGAAGGTGTAGAAATATTTCATATTGATGCTTAGAAACCCTTTTGACCTTTGGAGGGCAGCACCCAATCGGCCTCCCAAAAAATGGCACACGAACAGTAAATAAATCACCGCCAGCAAGGAGTAAATCGTGGGGGACCGAATCACTGCTATGTTATTATAACCAAAATAGGGACCATAGAGGCTGCTATTGGTGTGAATTTCATTCTCGCAAATTGCTGTTAGCGGCTACTTTAAACTACGGTTATTATAAGCGCGTAAACAAGTGGTGTTCAATACTTTAATATCACCTCTCATGTCCAAACACGTCCAATTTGAAAGTTTGAAGTTATTAAGTAAATGCAGACCATAAGACCATTAAGAACCCCGAAAGAAGCAAAGTTGGGTATTTCTTATTTCCCATTTTTTTTTGGACCACACAATAATTTAAAATTATTTCTTATTTGTTTTTTTATGGCCCGAAATAGACCGTTAAACTCACAATTAACAGCGTATTAAGGATGCATAATCATTTCTCTTAAATTTATATTTATATGTAGCTTGTTATTGTGGATTTATAGTCTAACTCTAGTTTTCCGCTTTGACGACTCATGCATTGCTGACAAGTGAATTTATTTTTTGTTTTAGTTTCTTTCTTTTCTTTTTTTGTCTTTGGTACTTTTGGATAGGATGCACAACCAATAATTAGCGTAGCACTGATTCATAATTAAAGTTTTTTGGAGTATCTAGGTTTCTTCGAGTAGCCAATTAATTTCCGCGGCTATTTCGCTGAAAATGAATAATAGAAAAAATATTTTACTAAAAATGACTGTTTGTATTATTCGAAGTAATTAGTTAATGAAAAGTATTTTCATTGTTGAGAAATAATTTATGTCCGCACGCTTTCGTGGACAATGAGAATATGTAGGCGATATAAGAGATAACTTTGAGAAAATTGTTTTCTAAATTATTCATTTTTTGTGAAACTAACCCACCCAAATGCGATATTTGTCCTACCTACACGCACAAGATAATTACCGAAAAACGTAGATCCATGGAAGGTATTATTTGTTTCTTTGTTTTAAGCACTTCAGGTCTACATGTATTTACATCATGATATCTGTGTTTTCTGATTATACTTTGCTGTTTATCATCTACGACTAGCAAATTTAGCTTTGAAATTATTAAAAGGAAGTTGATTTATCTTATACGTATGTCGATTAAGAGTCAAAATTTCTATCTTTTGTTTTCTTATCTACACGTGTCCTTATAATTTCAGCGAAGGCAATGCATTAAAAAGCATTCGCTATGATATCCAAATCCAGATTATTTTGACTTGAAAATTTCTAAGAATCGGCATCAACCTGAATTGCAGATTAATTAGTTAGGTTCATGTCTATCATGCTATAAATAACTACCTTGCTGAAGCCATGAATGACGTATATTATGATGACAAGAGATACAATATTGTACTTTGGAATTGCCAATAATAACATAATTTGGGCTTTAGTACACTTTTATTCCACTAATTACTTTGATAATTTCATGATCAATATTAACAGCTCTCTTTCCGCAGCAACGTCCTGAGTTCTTAGCTAGTATAACCATACCAAGTTATTGTTTCGGCCTTTGAGGTCAAGTGCCTGTTTTTGATTGCTAGTGGTGGTTGAGACATTTGGCGGGGTACTTCGTGGATTGTATTTATATCTAAATAGGACCAAACGGGTACTTATTTAATGAATTCCTGTCTAGTGATTGGGCGTATAATAGTTTTACGGCACCCCACAATAGAGAGTGATGTCTATGGTTTTGGCATGATTCTTTTGGAAATTCTGACAATAATGAGAGCCGTAGACGAAAATCGACCTTCCGATCAACATAACTTTGTTGGCTGCATCTAGGAAGGAAAAGAAATATGTACAAATTGATGGCTCCAAGGCTTAAAGAGTTCGTAGAAGAAGGTTTCCAGATTGCTTTCGAGTTGGTTGCGCGCTGCCTTAGCCTAGATCCAAATCCTCATCCCCGGATGAGGATAGTTTTTAAAATTTTTGACAGGGGAGACAGGCTATCCAGGATGTTCCTTGTATAAAAAGTTTATCAAACATTCAGAAAGAGACGGGGGAGCGCTGACAGTGGAATGTCATCTAAATATAACCCCCATTGAAGAAATGCAAGTCTTTCAATTTTGGACGGACCCAATACATAGACGTGCCACCACACCACCAGTATCTGACAACCAATGGTAAACCTCAGCAGTGTGTCTAGATATAGCTATCTCTCAACCTCATTTGTCCCATTTGTTTCCTTTTCTTCCCTTCCTTCTTTGGTGCAGGAATCTCGACTTTCATTTGAGCACGGCTTCTGATTACTAAAAAATGTTGATGGAGTAGAACATAATTTGAGTTATGACCATTTGTAAAGTTATCCTTCAAGAAGTAGCGGGGTGAAGCCTAAAACGGGCAGCTTCTAATGAGAAGTATGCTTGAGCTTTGATCCCTTGGTTATCTTTTCTCTTTAGCTTTCTGATAACACTGATCACATTTGCGGACGCATGTGGTGGTGACAGTGGTAAGATCATATGCCTTGTTTATGTACCTTTTCCGGCTAAAATTCGTTTGTAGGACACGTGTTGTTATTCTCAATAATCTTTTGGTTGTATTTTTATCTCCCATATAACATGGGATCTTCATTCATTTTGAATTACCAATTCGTCTACTCTTTAAAGCTGTACCGTTCTTCACTATAAAATATCAAGCTTTGTTCATTTCATGGAAAACGTAAAATTTCGCGAAAATGTTTTCCAAAAGTCATTTTTCAGGAAAATAACAGAATTTTCCGGTGTTCGGCTAAAATCTAAAAAAGACCCAGAAAACATTTTTTGCCTTTTGGTATGGAAAATCAAATCAAATTTTCCTCCATACACTACTTTTAATAATTTTTTTTTATTTTTTAAAACGATTTTTAATTATCATTTTCTTTTATTTTTATTTATTTTCTTCTCCGGCCGGTTGCCCACCACAGCAAAGCCCAGCGACCGGCCACAGGCGAGCTCGAGCATCGCTAAAGGGCGACGAGGCGTATTACTAGAATGGATTACCGACTCTATGACCCCCGGTTACAAAATATTGGAATCGAACCGGTCGGTTCTAGAATTGTCAATTCCTGAATCGGTCATTTTCGATATTGTTCCCGGGTAGAACCAATTTCGAAATAACTCACGTGCTAGTGAATTTTCAAATGAATTTTGTGTAAGCTTTTTTAGATATGTCAATTGAAAGTAATTTCTTCTGAGTCTCCTAATTTTCGATGTAAATAGCCCATATGTAATTGAATAAAATGGACGAAGTCAACGTTGGAAAGCAAATTTGGAATTAAGACTCGCCAATGGAAAAAGTACAATCGGTAATTATTCCATATGTCTCTAAAGATGCATATTTACACCTAATTCCATGGACCCATGAGAAAAACTTGGCTCACGTCTTATCTTGAATCTCAAATACATTCAAATGGCGATAGATTATCGGAGCTGGGGAACATGTCACACATGTCAATTTGTGATTGGATAACCACCATTACTGTTAAAGTATTTTTTTTAATTTTTATTTCTTCATATAGTATTAAGAGAAACACCTGGAAGTTGCATATGCTAAAAGTAAGAAATTTTTTGTGTAGAAGAAATAGATATTATCCAACATGTAATACATGTGTGGAAAACTAGTGTGAAGCGTTGTATAAATTTCAAATTCAGATTTATAAAGGCCTGAGATTTATAAAATCATGGTATAGTCATTTTGCTTGCCTTAAATCCCGATTATGTGAATATATTAATGTCTAGTTATCATTCATTTCATCGATAACAACGGGCATTCAAGAATTTTTGGTTTAAAATTTTTTATTTTTAATATTTTAAAAAAATTTCGAGCATTTCATGTTAATTATAAATTAAAGGAAAAGTTTCGCACAACTTACAAATAGTCGAGAGAAAACAATGATTAATTTTTTAAAGCAAGACTTTTAAATGAGAATTTTGGGGAACTCGTGCGTGCTATATATTAGTTAACAATGATAAAGCAGTCATTCAAAAATGTTGATGTAACTATTTTTGGCATTCATAAGTTTCTTATACACTGGAAAGTTGAAATAACAATAATGTGAATATATTAGCAAATTTGCTTTCTCAACGTGTTCAGCAGCTCAAAGAGTATGGTGGTAACTTGACTTTGCCACGAAGACTAATGAGGGGGAAGATGGTCCGGGTGGTGAAGGAGCTTGAGGGCTTCCCAAAGAGCTCTAATTTTATAGCAAAATATGGATAAAGAGAAAAAAAACAAATAAGATACAACGTAAATTTTAGCAACAGGATAAGGACAAATAGTCAAACTGTTGTCAACGACTCTGTATCCCTGAGCATTTGAATGGAAAATCATCTATTCTTTTGGGTCTGTTATTTTTCTAGTAAAGGTAGCTATCTTGATACGGCAGTCCAACTCTTCCTTTGAGCCCAATCCTACATAAATTTGCAATACACTAAAAGGGTCTGTGGACTGGAAAAAGATTAGTATGATCAAAGAAAATCGGATTCAAAATATCAAACATGTCGCATTTCATTACGTAAGCAAGAAATTGGGTACAAAGATCAAGCATTCTATCAAATTTTCCTATTTTGGCTACCCAAGTTACAATTTTCTAGAGACCGTGAACGTAGTCGACTTGGACCTCTCTCAATAGCCGTTGCTTACCCCAAAATTTACCCCAAAATCTCTCTCCCTCTCCCTCTCTCTCTCTCTCTCGCCTAGTAAACAAAATCCTTTTCGAATTTTTCAACCAAATCAAAATTTTAACCAAATATTAATTGTAAAAACTCAAGGCAACTGACTTCAGATTTGGATACATGAAGGGGGAACAGTCACCATTTCGTTTGGAGAGATTTTTTTTTTCCTTTGAAAGGCGATTTGAAAACCAAGCTTCAATGGTGTCATCCAACGGCCTCTACACGGTCAAGCTCCACCCCCGGGTGGTGTTTAGTATCTCCAAACTCGCGATGTTCAATACCTTCCTTATTGCACGAATTCGGACCGCTCAACTGCCTCACCGCATCTTCCACCGCTTGGGTCTCCTCCGACAGCCCACCTTCAACCAAATTGAGTGATGGGTTTTGCAGACCAAGCCAGCACGACCACACAAGTACAAGATTCGATGAAAACGGCCAAGAAATTAACACAAATCAAGCAAAATTCCGCCAAACGCAAAACCCTAACCACCACGACTTCCACCACACAATTAGCCTTCAGAAATCACCATAATGCCGAATTAACTTAGGGCTTTTCTTGCCCATGGCATTGTAATCATACTGGTTCAAAGCTGAGTGGTGGGTGACCCAAATTTGGCCGAAATTGCCAATTTCTCCCTCTACCGCTAATTCCCCCTATTTTTAATTCAATTAAAACCACATGAAAAGCCATCAAGGCAGAGATATAACATTGTCTAATACCAAATGTTAGAATATAAACTTAGCGGAAGACTAAAGAGTCTTATTTTGATGGATAAACAAAAACCATGCAAAATTAGAATCTATTGCCAAAAAGCGAAGAATTCTATACTAACCTCTAGCGATTAATGAAGTCGCAAACCGAATATGCAAGGTCTTAAACAATCGTAAATAGATACTTTTAGCCAATTGCCCTCTCATGTATTTTCCAATATCTCGTGTCAAACAGTAAGAGGTCAAGAGAGATTTGGCTTAGATGACCTATTTATATCTCCAAATATACCCTTAGTTATAGATAACTTCCCCCAAAATAATTATTTAGCATTGGGCAATCACTATTGTTATTGTGCACCTTAATTCGGTCAATAAAATGTCAATGAAATAAATTAATGTGGACAGTGTGAGATCACATTATCGATATTATAACATTTTCCTAATCCAAATATCTTAGATCAGACTGGGATTGTTGGAGTTGATGCAGTTTTTAATTGGACACCACTATGCAAGAAAGGCAGTTTGGTTTCTAAGTGCACTACAATACTCACTGTTCCTTTTATTTATTGCCTGAAACTTTTGCAGAGGAAGCTAGTGTTCCGCTCCTATAAGCTATTTACCATCTAATTAAAATTCTGTGACGAGCGATTAAATGGACAAATCTCCATTCGATCATGAAAATGTTTTGCTCTACTTTTTTTTCTTGTATTCATCTCAGCATTGTTTCAATATCCGATCTTCTGCAATGGAACGCTGATGGGAACAGTGTGTTTCATACCAGGAGACATAGAAACTCATTTTTCTCATAATGTCGTGTGCTCTACAGTCCTTGACCTATTTTCGGGTTTACTATGTTTTCACGGCATATGGAACCGAAAGTCATTTTCCATGGTGTGGAGTTCCATTCAGATGTCTTTTTTTTTTTGGTAAGGTAATTCAGATGTCTTTTTATCACTATAAAGTCAATACATTCGAGGTCGAGAGAGAAACCCTAATCTCACCCAAAGAAAGAAAGAAGAAAGAGGAAAAGAAAATAATATTAGGGTGACCTAGTGGCGTCCTTAATGCGGTAGTGCAGAATTTTGTTCTCAATGGCCATTTTGGAGTTGCCACTAGGTTTTTGCCAGGGGCCAACTAGAATATCCAATCGAAATGCGAGAATTTCATTTCGATTTCAATGGAACCAGAGATATCCATATACAGGGACTTACTTACATTACTGTTTCCACTAACGCCCTTTCGGTACTCGCTTACATGGCCATGCATTTGTTTTTATCATTTTCATGCCAAAAGTCTTGAACCAATAATGTCCATGCATCTTGTTTTTGTGCTTTTCCATTTAAGATTCTAAACTAAACCTATCTTAATCTGATAAAGAAAATCAACAAATAATGTATTTAAAAACGGTACCACAAGTAAATACCCAATGCATTCGGTGTTGAAAGAAGAGCTATTCTAAGTGCGATAAAGAAAAACCCGCAACTCGTTGGGTAATTATTACAAAACGAATTGAAAACTCGAGACATGGTCGAGTAACAAACAAATGGTACAGATTAAGACCGGATTGGACATCAGTCTTTAATCTCCATCCACAAAATTCTCGAGGACTTACTACGAAGCTCAAAGTGAACCTAGAAGTCTAAACATATCCTAGGCAAGGAAATAGGTAGGTCCCACTCATGGCTGAGGCTACGATGAGCCATATGTTTTCACTTGTCCAAATTAGGGTCATCAATTCCGATCATTGGATACAAAGTGCGTAGTTAATTGACTACCGAGTATTATTAAGGCTAATAATGATCCACATTTCCCTTATTCATTATCGGACAACTATGCTAAAGACTAAAATTGGTTCTTTTTAGATGTTTAGTCATCTTCTAAATAACCAATTTTATTATAACCTAAGCTAATCTTGTTTATTAATTAAACTTAGCTAGCTATTACAAGCGGTTGAGACCGGATTGGACATCAGTCTTTTGCCATCATGTTCAAGAGCTTTGACCACCTCCTCCTTGGATCATCTCGCTTGGCCAACTTCCATTCATTCACATTCATTCATTAAATCACATGCAATCATTCAAAACAATCAAGCAACAAAGTTCATCGAAATCAATCAATGGAATGGCCTCGGAGTCGACCTTTGCCTTCCATGCATTTCAATTACCCCCATTCCTAATGACTACGATTAATTGATTGATGGTTAATGATAATCGACCACCATTTGCATTCACAAAATGATGATCAATATAGCTTAACCCCTAAATTTGATTCTAATGTTCGCAATAACTACTTGCCGAACATCCATCGCGCCTAATCATTCATCTAACAAACACGAGTACGTAACAAATTAAGCATGCAATTAGGCCCTTTTTTCTAAATTAATCACATAAGGGGAAGTGAGCCTCTTCAAGATCACTTATTCAATTAAAGTTTATATTCTGTTTAGACCCAATTGGCTTATCAAACAACGTCCGATTGACATGGTTCAAGTGTCATTAGAAAGCTTATGATATGTAGTTCAGAGTTCTTGAAGACCGTTTGGACCGTTTCTAAAAACCCGATTTATCCGAAAAAAATTGACTTAACCTGGATACCCCATACTCGACTCCGTTTCAGCCCGTAACTTGAAAAAATGCGAGAAAAATATCACATGACATCAAAAATGCGTCAAATTTTATAGGGAGTTAGAAAAACGTGTGTTGAACAACTTTCAAGTTTTAACATTTAGCTAAAAATCCCTTGATTTTCCCCAGTAATTCCATTTATTCCTAGAACTCAATTGAAAACAATTTTAAAGGCTAGATTGACCTTATCCGAAATTTCTGCCAAATTGGCCCAGCAAATGTTGTTATTAGGTCCTCAAGCATTCCAATTTACAAATTAAGACCCTAATAAACAACTTTTTAGTTATGAGTTTTTGCAAAGGACCTCAATTTCATCAAAATTGCAAAATACATTTGGCATTTGGATGCTCATGGAAGCAATTTCCCAGATCCAAGTGCGGAAATATTTCGGCATAGTGATCATACCTTTGAGCAACCAAAAGAGTCTCAATTCTAATGAATTTTATATCATTGGAAAGCTTAAGATCTCACTCGCAACTTTCATGAAGAACACATCTCGAAATTTCAAACACAGAAAATCATAAAAATCACGAAACAAACAAAGGTTGGTCAGGAACAGATTATCACACATTCTCAACCAGTTTTCCCAGATTTCATGTTCAGGTCATGTGTACATTTTTACCTAGCAAACGGTTTTCATTTTCGACGTGCGACCTATCTAGTCAAAGCTCAGGATGTCAGGATCATTTCATTAATTAACGGCTTTGCAAGATTTTGAGGTTTACTAAGCCTAATCACCCATCTAAACTCAGTGACTCATTGGACTTAGAAAACGCAAGTTCTGTTAATATCATTCTATTGATCAATTAGCTCCCCAAGCCGTTCTCCCAGCCTAGACTGACTTGAAATCAGTTTCGAATATCTCTATTAACCAAGTCCTTAACAACTTCCAAGAATTCTAGCAAGTTCCAATGAACTTCAAGCAGACTTTTAACAATTCCTAACAGGAAACAAGTCATAGACAATGGACAGCAGCAAGCAAACTTGCAGGACTAAATCCTCTACTGAACATGATCCCAACAGAGTTCTAGGTAATAATTGACAAAGCATGAGTATGTCTTACCTTGAGGGATTGGCCTCCTCCAGAAATAAAAGTTGAGAAAGATAAATCCAGACCACATGCTCAACGCCGTTTGCCATGGCAAATCACCGAGATATACATAGACAAAGAAATGGAAGAATAGCGTCAAATTTGGTCTCAATAACATTTAAGTGTAACATAGAATCAAATTCGAATGCTAGCAAACCAATTGCTTACATCAACCCATCCCCAAATTGACTAAAAATCATGATATATTTCATAGCTATGTCTAAGAGGCATATCAGCAAACAGGTGGTGAGCACACATCATGAAAGGACGAAAATCAAGCTAGCTCTAAGTGAGAGAAGGTCACAGCCGATAATGGAATAAGCTAGCAGTCAGCTCAAACAATCAACACGCTAGACAAACTCATTTGCATCATGCCAGAGCAAAGCCAAGTTTGAATCTACAAAAATCATATCCAATTAGTGCCGTGCAGCAACATTCAGAATTATTACAGATTAGTCGAGATCAAAATTTCCAATTATTTTGTAAAGAATTGACATTAAATTGATGTACTGTCTCCACCAGTACTTATATGAACTTGTGTCATCAAACTAAAGACAAATAGAACGAGAATTTCACTAGGCTGAGAAATACAATCACGGTGAGCATGCATTCGGTTCAATTCCAGCATGTTTTTAACAAATCGCAGCAAGATTCCAGCATTTATTGACAAGACACAATACATTTCGACAAGACTCCTTCATTCTCATTTCCAATACACTCTAACTTCCCTTTTATTCTTCTAATTGTCGGCCAAATCTTTATCCATCTCTATTCAAGCGACAAATATACAATGTTACTTATCCAGAATCTATCGAACCATTCCAAACAGAATCCTCCCAATTACAAAACATGTTCCTTGAAAACCAATATAGCTAAACGTTTCACGATAAAACAAACAGCGTAAAAGCATTTAGAATCTGCTCGAGATCAGCATGTATGGACTTGTTATGCACAATCCTCTACACAAATTCTTAAGCAGAGGCCAACGTATATACATTTTACAACGCCATCCATCACCTCTGACCATCAACAGAACAAAGCAATTAACATATCGACTCCAATCATCAACATCCATGGTCACCGTATCACAGAGAATACAACGAATGAATGAGAAAGTTTGCTATAGTGATGGGGAACCTACTTTCGAACATATATTTGTGAAAATTTTCAAGCACAACATCCATTCCATGTCGCACAGGTTTAGATTTTACTCTAAAAGTGACCGAGAATAGGACGAGAGGTCTTTACCATGAAATCAACTCTGCGACGTACTCAAACACACAAAATGATTTATAACAGAGACTAATTTCAAATGTTCAGATTATTATAAGTTGAAGCATAGAGATAATAAAAAACCAACGATGATTAAACTATGCTAGAGACTACAATCGGTTTTTATTTTTAGGAAATACGTCCCATTCATGGTCGAGGCAACAAGTTGCTCTATGTTTTCACTTGACCAAAGTCGGGTCATCAATTCCGATCATTGGGTACAAAGTGCGTAGTTAATTCACTCCGAGTAGCCTCAAAGCCAATAATGGTCCACATTTCCCTTATTCATTGTCGGACATGTGACTTAAACTATGCTAAAGACTACAATCGGTTCTTATTTTTAGGAAATACGTCCCATTCATGGTCGAGGCCACAAGTTGCTCTATGTTTTCACCTGACCAAAGTCGGGTCATCAATTCCGATCATTGGGTACAAAGTGCGTAGTTAATTCACTCCGAGTAGCCTCAAAGCCAATAATGGTCCACATTTCTCTTATTCATTGTCGAACATGTGACTTAAACTATACTAGAGACTATAATTGGTTCTTATTTTTAGGAAATACGTCCCATTCATGGTCGAGGCCACAAGTTGCTCTATGTTTTCACTTGACCAAAGTCGGGTCATCAATTTCGATCATTGGGTACAAAGTGCGTAGTTAATTCACTCCGAGTAGCCTCAGAGCCCATAATGGTCCACATTTTCCTTATTCATTATCCGACATGTGACTTAAACTATACTCAAGACTACAATTGGTTCTTATTTTTAGGAAATAGGTCTCATTCATGATTGAGATTGTCCTTCTGATGGCCACCACTGAAAGAACGAAATGGGTAACTGCCAAATTGAAAAACAATGCTTGTGCCGCACTTTAAGCTATTTATTTCAGATCATGGGAAAAAAGAATCATAGCATGTGTGGAATGAATGGGGGATGAACTGAGGAACTGTAGTAACCGTATGCAGTCTCAAATTCATCTCCATAATAAAACTCATTTTATCTTGTCTGTTGTTGGAATGGTAATTTAAAAATATTTACCAAAAAAAACTCCGCACCTTCAACCAACAGCTATTATCAGAAAAAACTGAGAAGTGCACTCCCCCTTGTTCCTGCTAATGTCATAGTCAACTTAGATACCCGGTCTTAAACATATACCTCAACCGCATTTGAGATTCCAGAATAGAGGCAAGCCAACTTGTAAGCACCGTTGCCTAAAGAACTTGGCCAATCAATTTTTCAACGCCAACTTCTCACATAACCTGATCAGAACCCACTAAAGGAAATGCAGAAGCTAATCAATCTTCATTATGGACCGATGTGGACTCGGAATAAAACCAGTCATCTAAGGAAGCTAGTATTTATTTAGCATTTTCTTTTCCGTCAAAACTTTCTCATCTCGTGTTATTCAACCGAACAGATTTCGCAGCATTTATCCAGCGCACTAACAATGCATTTCTCTAGACCGAAACTTGACATTTGCTCCCCCGAATTCCACAAGCGTCTTTTCAAGCAAAGCACGTATTTTTCAGAGAGAGAGAGAGAGAAAGAGAGTTACGTGAAGAATCCGACGGAGCCTGAGGCAGAGCAGAAGCCACATCCGCAGCCGAGGCCATAGCTGAGCAAGGAAGCTCTAGCTCAGGAAACTGGCAGGGATCACTCATTTCGCTTCCCTTCCTGTAGTCCGAAAGCTTGCTGAAACTGAACAGCAGACGACGGAGGCGATCGGAGGAGAAGCCTTGGGTCCGGCCAAATTATGGCGTTTGATGCGAGAGGCTTTTGGAGTTGAACCGTGGCGGTCTGTTGAACGTCCCCATCACAGATCAATTTGCCACGTCCAACCGGCCGCTTACGTCTTCCTATTCTCCTGCACAATACTCGTTCATTCAGCGAGGAACTTCCGGCTCCTATCCACGTATTGAAAAATTCCGTAATTCAAAGTAGGGGTGTCAATGGGTCGGGTCGGGCTTTCTTGATACCCAACCCGACCCAAAACCAATAGGGTCATGCTTGACCCGCCCAGACCCACCCAAGACCCTGTTCACCGTACACAAGGTCTGGGCCGGGCCGAGTTGGGTCAGGCTGGGCCCGGTTTTTTTTTTTTTTTTTTCAAATAGATTGGAAACAACACACGATACAAAAAAAAGTACCACATTAGAAACAATGATTGCTCCGATTCTTAGCATTAAAACTTGCTTTGATCGAATAAAGTGCAAAACCTAATACAGCATGCCAAAATCACAACATCTTCTAAGATTATCCAACAGAAGTGCTCATGGGTTTTATACATGGATCTGAGCTACTGATAAACCATCTCATCATGAGGACCAACAAAACAGAAGTACGATTGCCATGCGTATACTCACTACACCTTCTTTATCTTGTCTTCCCTGGGATGCATCTCTAAAAACAAGTAATTTGATTGTGTCAGCATATCCTTTGTATGCAGCCCTGATCAAAGCAAAAGAACAAGCATTCATTGACCATTCATAAAGTACAATGGGGACAAAAAGAAGGATGAATATGCTGTTATCATTAAAAGAAAGTTTCTAGTTAAGTTGGAGATGATAGTAATAATAATGACGACGACAACGAAAATAATAATGTTTTTTTGTCATTACAAGAAAATTTCCAGTTGATTACAGGATAACTAAATCAGAAGATGTTGAATTCCCAAATTCTATCACAGATAGAGATATAACAAACCATTGAGTAGGGCATAAAAATTAATTACTATCAGAAATGATCAGAAAGAGAGCTGCAGGTTAAAGTGATATGAAATGAGATAGAAAATTCGGAGATTTCAAAATCATGCAAAGGTCTTCTCTGCTAAAACAACTTACAATTAAATTAGGCTTTCTTCTGCTCAATCCTCAAGCTCTGCACGACTGAAAGGAACCACCCGATTCAAAAATGGAGACGCTCAATTCACACCTCGTTCGGGAACTGTTCACACCCAACAACAGCCACTTCAATTTTCACCCACCAAACAAAAAAAAAAGAGAAAAACAAGAAAGAAAAGGAAAGGGATTGCAATGTAAAGCAAATTAGAGCCCCCTCAAAATATCTTCATCAATATAATAGGACCCAATTATGCTTCCACAAGGAAACAAAAAAAGAAAAAGAGCAAACGATGAAATGCTAAGTGACAACCGCACCAGACACACTTCAAGTTTCAACCCAGAAGCTTGCTGTTGCTGCAGAGAATCGTAACCCTACAAATATTTCACGCAGCCAGTTAATAATCTCTCCTCAACCATCCAATTTTCCTAGTTAGATAATCACCCATATACACGAGCAGCATCGGTGAATCAACTTTTTGCTGGAGAGCAACAAATCCTATGCCCAAAGAGACGGTGCCGTTTCTCGACACCAAGGCAATCAAATGTTCAAGTCCAACGCCATCATTAACAACCATACACGCCGCTTCTCCGCCAGATTCACAAAGTCAAAATCATTTTAACTTCACTACACATAACTCGATTCGGATAAAGAAAAAAAACATTCCAACCTTAGTTCTCCACAATAGTCAGATCTGCAACCTATATCCACATACTCTAGACAGCCAACTACGTTTGTAAAGATAAATAAAACCTAAAAGATCAAAACTTGGTCGAATCAAAACTATACCAGAACTGAAAGAAGTTGGTAGAATAAACCAACTAAATATATTTTTGCGTATAACCACATCACATTCATGCATCAAGCCTTAACACTAACTGACCATCAACTCCTGTCCTCCACCATTTTCAAACAAAAGTTGGAGAAGTATAGAGAAATTATTGAGTCAACAACCTAACTTTGACTTATACTCCATGTTTCGACTTTTTAGAGATTTAGGTCTGAACTTTGCATAGCTGAATTCTCACCGAGTCGGACCCAGAAGGAAAACCATATCTTCCTAGTAATATTTTGCATAATCAGTTAAGATTCAAATACGCCTTATGAGTAACAAAATCCCAAAGGGAATGCAGCCACCATGCTAATGGTGATAAGTTGTTATGCTGTTGCTAACATCTAAGTGAGATTGATAATAGCATTCCATGTTGAAAACAGCAGACCATCTGTTAGACCAAATAGTTTGTAATAAATCACCTAAGCAATTTGATTGTATTGGCATTGGCTCAACCAATCTGGACGACATATATTTGCAAAAAAAGGTCCCTTAAGCAGCACAATGGTGAGTTCTTGCATTCCAGGTAACCAGATTTATCGGGGAAAAAAAAGTGGGAAACAGAGATTTACGCAGTCCATGGGTCATTGAGCTTGAGTCATATGCTATGTAGACAAAGCCCGGTAACAGAGTAATCATGGTAAATTTTTCAGAGCAGGAAAGCCAAAGGGTGTCACCAGCTAATCAACATCGTTTTAATCAAATAAGGGCCATTAAATTCGTAGAAACCGATGAGCACAACAGATGCAATTCAAAATCCATGCTCAAATGATACAATTTACACGGAAAAGAAACTAGGAACCACACGAAAAATTCACCCTTTTTTTGGGGCTCACCTGCAATGGGAACAACCTATCCTCAAACTGAACTTCCTTCGTCAAGAAATCAGCTCCGATCGTGGCCTTATACTGATTGCTGAACTTGCGATTCACATACCTATACAGCACAATCAGCGGTCCCCCAACCCTGAAAAAGGAAAACAAGACCAGCACAATCAGCGGTTTGCCCGATTTCTTGACAGTTTGTGCAACATCTTCGTGGACGATCACCTGGTCCAGCGTCTTCGGGCGGTACTCGTCGACCCACAACATCTTCGGAGCTCGATTGTGCAATTGATCGATGTGAGCGACTGAGAGAAATGGATGAGTGAAGAGAGAGAGAGAGAGAGAGTGAGAGAGTGTCGCTGGAAAGAGTCAGAGGAAGGGTGTGAGAGGTTTTATACCAGATCGACCGTAAAGCAAGGAGGAGGCCAACGACGCCGTAGATAGATCGGAGGTCCACCGGAGACGGGCGGCGGGCAAACCGAAGATGGGCGGTGAATTTCCAGCGAGCGAGCGAGAAGGACGGCCGGAATTGCACCTCCGAGGAGAGACGGTGGGAGCCCGCCGGAACCCTAGCGGAGCGCGAGAATGGCAGAAATGCAGAAATGCTCGCGGGTGGAAGTGAAACTGAACGGAAAGAAAGGACCAAAAAATAATTGTAACCTGTTTTAGGGATCCCGGTTCCGGTTCGGTGCCCGTAGGAACCGGAACCGGAACCGCCGGTTCCCAAAAATGGGGAACCGGGAACCGGACCCTCTCTTCATGGAACTGGGACCCGTCGATTCGGTTCTGCGGTTCCCGGTTCTATCCGGGAATCGCGCTCACCCCTAGCGGCGAGGGCGTGGTGAGTCGGACGGCATGAATTTGAAGACGGAGAGAGAGACTACCCAAGAAGAAACAATGAAAATGGGCTGAACTTGAAACAGTTTACTTTTAAATGGGTTGAAACTTGGATTTTTCAACATATCCATTGCAGCCCATTTATTATGGGTCTTCCCCCTTTAGGACTCGTTACGATCTTATATTTCAAATTTAAGATGGTTCATTTATCTAACTCAATTCAACAAATGTGGGTTATAACATGGGCTAATGACCCATCTTGACGGCCCTATTTACGCTTGCGGTGAAACCAAGATTTGTAGGACTTTTAGGAGTACAGGCACGGAAGGGTTTGACCCCCGGGGACTGATTTTACTGGCCTTTGGAGCTTAAGTTTACTTTTTCATCCGAGGTGTTTTTGGTACGTGAGATTGTAAATTGTTTTGTACCTCAATCCACCCGTTTCAAATGCTTCTTTGACATACGAGAATTACATTAATCGAAGGAAATCAAGCGGTCTAGCGCGAGATGTGTGATTTATTGAATAGTGGACCCCTTCCAGTTTTAGCTTGCACCAGGGAGACTTTGCTCTCAATGCCAATTACGAAGTCTTCAAAATCATATCAATATTGCCGTTTAAGTCGTCATACTTTGTCTTGTAATTATTTATGAATTGCTTTTTGGGAGACAAAATTCATGTAAGGCTTGTAGGATGATAGTGCCTTGGAAGCTATCCAAGTAAAACTTTTCCGGTCCAGTAAGGCAAGTGCGTAAAACTACAAGCACCAGTATCTTCCAAGTCAAAACACAAAGTCTACCATAACCATACGCCAATCTTCATGCCTTTACGTTGCGGCAAAGAATGTTCATCCGGTAGGATTGTCAATAGTGGCCAAGACGATGAAACAGAGACTGACGGATAATCAATCTTCTCAAAGAAGGGAAAAATTACCAAAGCAGTCTTAAACCTATTGCAATTGCGCTAATTCAGTTCTAAACTTTTTTTTTTTGGCCAATTCAGTCCATCCGATTAAATTTGGGCGGTCGACATTGACGTGGCAATTTTTAAATATATATATATTTATTTTTTTTGAATTATTATTATTATTTTTTATTTTTTTCCTTTTCTTCTTCCCTTGGCCAGTCGAGCGACCACCCAGGGGCTAGGGCCAACAACACTAGTTGGCGCCCACTAGTGAGGTTCGCCCTCAACGGGACTGGTGACAGCGAGCCTCGACCTCGACGTTGAGGGCGAGGTCGGCTGATTGCTACTTGACTTTGCCATCGAGGGCGAGATCGGCCCTAGTGAGTTCGCTCGGCCTTGCCACAGATCTGGGCGAGACCATGCAGCCTCGCCATGGCCTAGAACCTTGCCCGCGACGGCATGGTCGAGGCTTGCCCTCACCAGTGGCCGGCGACATTGGTCACCGGTCCTAGCCCCTGGCCTGGCCGGTCGGTTGTTGGATCGGCCAGGGGAAGAAGAAAAGGAAAAAAAATATTAAAAAATTACCACGTCAGAGTCGCCCAGAGGGTTAGTGCCGGTCGGCCAAAATTGGCCAAATAGACTAAATTGCACAAATATAAAAGGTTTAGGATTGAATTGGCACAATTGTAATAGATTTAGGACCGTCTTGATAATTTTCCCCTCAAAGAAGAGATGAGTCAGTGGGTGTAAATGTCAAACAAAGCACAAACAATTGATCTGAGTATTCAGATTCAGGAAAAAAAAAAGAAACAAATAGAAAATGCATACATAGGGTAATCAACTCGAGTCATCGCTTGGAGATTCTAACAACATTGGCCGAATCACTTGTATGTTGGTTCATCCTCCTAATCAACTAAAATGTAAGTTATAATTGATGTCGATTATCAAAAATGATCTCGTACTCTCCTATATTCAAATAGCCCCCAATCAAAACCTCTCTTGTGAGAGATGTACTGTAAAATCCATTTCAACACTCAATAAATCATGTTCAACAGGCTAGCTTTGAGCAATAGAACATCGAAATGGTGTGATAGGAAGTGTTGGGAGTCTGTAAGTATTATTGTCAACTGTTCTTAATGACAGCTGTTTATGCATAGTTCAAGTTGTACTTGAAAAAAATATGATCTTAGAGATGAATAACTTGCCCAATCAAAGATGACTCAATAAAACATAGTCATCACTATCAGTGAGTGACAAGAAACGAGTTTCTTGCATTTGCTTTCAAATCATGACTTAGGTATTTTGAGCAAAATAACTTCTTAAATCAAAAAAATTCTAAATCTAACAAGGTCAAGCATTTCGCATCATATAATTAGGAAAAATTTTGAAAAATGATATTTATATATATTTTTACCTAAATTTGGCCAGATTTTGATCGGGCATGACTTTTCCGTCCAACATCCCATTGACTCAATTTTTGCACTAACGGGAAGCTTATGACCCAATTGTTCCAAAAATGTGGTTTGATTTAAAAAAAAGTGTTGGGATTGCGAATTTCCGAGAATTGGACCGAACGGACGGCCATGATATTTTTTTCGCTAAGAATCCAATTGCATGATTTATCTTAAGAAATTTAGATGATTAGAAAGCTTTTAAACCTACCAATGTACTATGCTTGTAGAAAGTTTAGGTCACATGACTAGTTTAACCTTGTACAATTGAAGATATTTTCAAATAATTTAACACAGGCGATATGCTTGGAACACGAACCGTACAGCATCAATCAAGGAGCCCATCAGATTTTTGAAAAAGATCACACTGATTAGATTTTGCTTGACTTTTGAATTGGAAAATCGAAGTAGATTAGTTTTCTTAGGTTTTAGTATATGACTTTGATTATAAAAGCTTTTCAGTCCAATCTTTTAAGCTTTTTACTATATCTATGCACAACATTGATTTCCATGGAGAAGTTTATGTGCGTGGGGGAGAGTGGAAATATCTGTACCCCACATGATCTGGCAAGAGTAATCAGAAAAAAAGAGCAGTTTACTAATAATAACTCACAAATACTTTCCTATAAATGAGAAAGCATGTTGTCGACTTACGGATAATAACAACTCACAAATACTTTCCTAGAACCACCGCATGTATTGTAACTGAGATTAATCATGAGAAAAGTCTTCTTGCTGTTCCTTCATTTCAGGCATATGGGCCGGTGAAAAAATAAGATATTCCCAATCATTATCTTCATAATACCTGATGACTAAACACGACATAAGCCAGCGCAAAGAAAACGAGTATGAATGGAAGCAAGGCTGGGGTCACCGTAGCATATACAAGGCCCAGTAGGAAGTAAATCTGAATTTGAGGTTCTCCGGTGTTGAAAGCAATGCTTCCAGGATCCAGTGCCTCCTCCCTATCCTTTTCAGTTCTCACCAAGTAAAAATTCTTCAAGTGGTAGATAATCAAAGGCTTCAGCATTAAAATCTCAGCTGCTATTCCAGCCCAACCATCAACCATAATGTAAGTAATGAAGAAAGTTGCTCACTGGGGAATGGCCACCCCAATTGTTTTAGGAATGCTGCCAAAAAATAACATGTATGACATCTTCTCCAGAAGGACAGCTAGCAAGTACATGAAATTGGAGAACAAAATTTGCTGCCTAAAGGGCAACTGCTTAATAGGCCAGTATTGTCACCCAGAATGCAGTCATTCTAAGGTCAAATAACTTTAGCACGCTCATCATCTTTTAATCTTAAGTCAAGGCCCAGCACAATAGCCAAAACAATATAATATCAAACAGGAGACATGCAAATACTGAATTAATACACCAAAAGCAGCGTATAGCAGCTGCATCCCAGGTCATAAAGAATAGAATTACACCAAAAGCAGTGGAAATGAGCTGCATCCTAAATCATGCGGAAATTATGCCTACTAAGACTGAATGACAATGCCTGGTTGAAAGATTTGAAGGTTTCCTTGTTCCACAGCCACAGATTTTCATATCATCTCAACAACCCCGCCCTCCCCCCCTACCCCCTTCTCTTCTCTCTCTGTCTCTCTCACAGAGAGAGAGAGAGTTCATCCGCATCCGCAAGCAAACAGAAACACTTAGTACACGTGTGAGTACAGCTATCTGTCTATAGGTCACTGTGTGCAACTCTGTGTGTGTGTGTGTGCAGAACCAGCAATTATGCTCCCGAGGAATACATTCACGAGATTGAAAAGATAATATCTAGTTGCTGATCTCCTTTCAAGAGATGATAGAGATATGAAGCCTTCAAATTTAGACATGATCATTAATATTATAGGCAAGAAAATGAGAAAAAGCTTCAAGGCAATCCCAGGCAGAAAACCCTGGATGAACGACTTAATGAAACCACTGCAAGTTAAATCGTCAAAATAAAGTTAATTTCATCAAAACATATTGCTAAATCAATTTGATGCAATTAGAAACTTAAAAAGTTGAGTAATAAGAAAAATCCTGACTCACCTTTCAATAATGGGCTTGAGAAAAGGAGCTACTTTCTCGATCCCTCAATGCTTGCCAAAGATTGCACAAACGCAATGGTTATCATGAATAAGAACGTGAGGAAAAAGAATGCAACGGCCGTAATTAGTCTTCTGGTTGTGAGAGAAACATATGGGATGGCAAGGTTTTGCCAATACACGTCACGTGGCTCTGGAGCCCAATCAGTGAGCCATAGAGTTGGATTTCTGCTCTGTTGAGTCTGCACAGACAGTGGCACCCCATCTAGTTTTGAAGGAAACAAATGCAGCAGGCATTATAGACTTTGGATCACTTGTAACTCTCTCTCTTTCTGCAACTATCTGAACAGTAGATACGTTCATTAATTTGATCCTTAATTAATCGTTTGGTT